AAATTATTTACATGATAAAAGATTTCTGAACTTCAGTGGAATGGGCTGCTTCATGTTGATGCAATTTCAATAGTGATTTATTTCAGTCTACGTACTTTCCAAGAATGTCACCGTCTCTAAATAGAAAATAATCCTTGTCACCTAGAACTATTTTGGTGCCTCCATATTCTGGGAGAAGAACTTTACCTCCAACTTTCACACTAACTGGTTGAATCTCTCCACCCTTTCCTTTAGAACCTGATCCAACAGCAACTACTGTTGCTTGCAATACTTTTCCTTGAGATTTTTCTGGAAGCATAAGGCCTCCTTTGGTTACAGTTTCAGCAGCACTCCTTTCAAGCAGTACTCGGTCAAAAAGTGGAAGAAACAGGAAAGTCTTCTTTATTTAAAGAAATAACTTTGATTATGGATTGGCTATACATCACTAAGGGTTAGGGTATATGATATAGTGTCTTCTGTGACATTATTAGTTTAATTTATACATACTTGTGGCAATCATGAACAGTTTCAAGAGATAGGTAGTTGAAAGAGGGAGAAAGACATAACTGTGCTCTCATTTTAATGTCTCTCTGTGTTTGATAACTAAAAGGACTTTCATTCCTCAGATAAAATCTCAAGACCTAGATTTGTAATTTGGGGCTGCAGATTTAGGTCCAAAATGGGTGGAGTAGCAGCACATGCTGCCTGCACATTTGAGCATTTTAGCAAGAGGAGAAAAAGGAAAGTGGACATTTGCATATCTACATGTCTACTAAATGCACTCATGTTACTCTAATTGCGTTTCTAGGACCCATGAGCTCTCAATCCGTTTGAGATCTTATAATGCAAGTCACTGAAAGAGGTAAAATGATTGACTGCTCCCCTGGAAAGTGTGCAGTAATCTCATCTAGCCTCTCTAGAAGTGATTGTAGAGGACTATAGATACCAAACATGCAGAGACATAATTCTGCCTGCATATTTAGGAGACAACATGCACTTTACAGGATAACTGTAAGTTCAAGAAAAGCCTGGAATGGAAAGGCCCCTCTAGAGTAAAGCTTGGTAGGAACCTTATGTGTTTACAGTATGTCTTCTAATTCTAGACAGTGTTTGGGAAATATAATTACAAGAAATATTTTCTCCAGCCCCAGGAAAACTCCACAATAATACGACTGTTAGAAAACAAAACTGAAAGGCCGGGTGCAGTGGCTCACACCTGTAATCCCACCATTTAGGAGGCCCAGGTGGGCAAATCACCTCATGTCAGGTGTTTGAGAACCTGACCAACATAAAGAAACCTCATCTCTACTAAAAATACAAAATAAACCGGGAGTGGTGACAAATGATTGTAATCCCAGCTACTCAGGAGGTTGAGGCAGGAGAATCACTTGAAAGCTGGAGGCAGAGATTGCAATGAGCCAAGATTGCACCATTGCAGTTCAGCCTGGGCAAAATGAATGAAACTGTCAGAAAACAGAAAAAGGGGCGGGGCAGGGGAGAGGGGGAAGAAAGACAGAAAGAGAGAAAACAAAACAAAATTGTAAGCCAGGTGTGGTGGCTCATGCCTGTAATCACAACACCTTGGGAGGCCGAGGCCGGCAGATCACGAGGTCAAAAGTTTAAGACCAGCCTGGCCATATGGTGAAACTCTGTCTCTACTAAAAATACAAAAATTAGCTGGGCATGCTGGCACATTCCTGTAATCCCAGCTGCTCGGGAGGCTGAGGCAGGACAATGGCTTGAACCCAGGAGGCAGAGCTTGCAGTGAGCTGAGATAATGCCACTGCCCTGCAGCCTGGGCGACAGAGGGAGACTGTATACCCCCCTCAAAGAAAAAAAAAAAAAAAACAGCATTTTAATTTAATAAAATAAAAGACACTAAAATTATGCTTACCTATAATTATCTGTATTGGATAAATTAATAAGCATGTCAGACTAATACCTACAGTAAGTTTGGTAGTAAATTTTCTTTGAATATTAGATATAAATATCTGTTAGTAATTTTAATATACTACTCATAATGTATGTAGGATTTTGAAAAATTGTAACTAGTACAGTTAAAATACTTTATATTACAAAAGTATGAGCAACAATATTAAAACAACTATTTATGGTATTTATTCAAAGTAAATATTGCCAAATATTCATACTATTGTAGAATATATACTGTTTAATTTATATAAATGCAGGTTGTCTAAAAAGACCACACATAACTATGCTAATTGTTTTAAAGTAATAAACAGAAAAAAAAGTCAAACTACAGGCTTCATTGTTCAGTTTACACACTAAACTATTTTTGCTTTTGCATTGTAGGTACTTCAGCCTGCAAATAATTACCTGAATAATTACATTTCTGTCAAAGAAACTTACTTTGTATTTTTTAGTCTTTATCATCTGTACTGCTAACTTTTAAATAAACCTTTGCCAAAGCAAAAACAAAGCAATAAACCTTAGGTCCCGAATAAAGACAATCCTGAGTCAAAAGGAATGACAAAAGGTTTATTTAGATGTTAATATAATTTACATGTATTTCAAAAAAACAAAGAAAAAAATCTACATATAATCTAAATGCTTTAATACAACAGAGATGAACAAAACATTCTCCTCTATTTTCACATATGTGAATAAAGTCTCTTATTTTTAATTTATATTTTCTCCTAAAATAACTAGGTCAGTAAACATATTCTTGAACTCTTGGACATTTGAATTGTGAACTTCAAAGAATGTTTATGGTAAAAAAAACAAAAGCAGAAGAGAGAAAGATGTTATAATAAATTGATGGGTGCACATAAATAAGTTTTTAAGAAACGTATGAAGAGAATGAGATACTGATACAATAATAGTGGGAAACTACAACACCCACAGGTACTAATAGACACATTATTGAGGCAGAAAATTAACAAAGATATCAAGACTTAAACTCAATGCTTGACTAAATAGTCCTCTTAGACTTTTACAGAACTCTCCATCTAAAAATAACATACTATACAATCTTCTCATCACCACGTGGCACATACTCTAAAATTGATCACACAGTCAGAAGCAAAACAATCCTCAGCAAATTTAAGAATTCCAAAATTATATGAATCACAGGCAGAGGCCACAACTTGATAAAAATGTTATTCAATACAAAAAAAAAAAAACCACTTGAACCATAAAATTACATGGAAATTAAACAAGCTACACTTGAATTACTTTTGGGAAAATAATAAAATTAAGGCAGGAACCAACAAGTTCTTTGAAAAAAAAATGAAAACAAAAGACACAATATACCAGAATTGTTGCAACACAACTAAGGCCATGTTAGGAGAAAAATTTATAGCATTAAAAAATGCTTACATTGGAAAGTTGGAAAGACCTCAGTTTATTCCAGGAGTTCGAGATCAGCCTGGCCAATATGGTGAAACCCCATCTCTACTGAAAATACAAAACATTAACTAGGCATGGTGGCACGCACCTGTAATCCCAGATACTCAGGAGGCTGAGGCAAGAGAATTGCTTGAAGCCGGGAGGCGGAGGTTGCAGTGAGCTGAGATAGCACCATTGCACTCCAGCCTGGGCAACAGAGTGAGACTCGGTCTCAAAACAAAAACAAAAACAAAAAAACACACTTGTATTAATAATTGTGATTCATTACATAAACAGAACTAAAGACAGAATCCACAAAATTATGTCAATTGATGAAGAAAAAGCTTTCAATAACATTTAACATTTTTAAGTTAAAAAGCCTTAACAAACTAGTAATGGAAAGTGCATACTTCAAAATAATAAGTTATTATCAAAAACCCACAGCCAGCATACTGAATACACACAACCTGGAATCACTTTTGTTTGAAAACTGGCACAAGATAAAAACGCCTTCTCTCAACACTCCTATTCAACACAAAATTGAAAGTTCTGGCCAGAGGAATTAGGCAATATAAAAAAAAAATCGCATGCAAACAGGAAGAGGGGAAGTCAAACTTACTTACATTTGCAGATGACATAACGCTGTATCTGAAAAACCCTCTAATCTTGGCAGAAAATCTTTCTAAACTGACAAGAAACTTCAGCAAGTTTTTAGGATACAAAATAAATGTACAAAAATTAACATCTCTGTATATTAAAAACATGCATGCTGAAAGCCATATCAAAAACAAAATCCCATTCACAATCACTACAAAGATAATAAAATATCTAGGAACACAGCTAACCAGTGAGGTGAAAGATCTTTGTGACAAGACTGACAAAATACTGCTTAAAGAAGTAAAAGATTAAACAAACAACTGGAAAAACATTTTATGCTCATGGATAGAAAAAGATCAATGTTATTAAAATAGTCATAGTGCCAAAATAATTACAGATTTAATGCCATTTTTATCAAACTACCAAAAATATTTAACAGAACTAAAAAAACAATAAATAAATAAATAAATAATAAAACTATTTTAAAATTTATATGGACTCTAAAAAGAGCCCAAATACCCAAGGTAATCATAAGCAAAAAGAACAAAGCTTAAGTCATTAAACTACCTGTATTCAAACTATTCTACAAAGCTACAGTAAACAAAGCAACATGGTTCTGGTACAAAAACAAACTAATAGAACAATGCAACAGAACAGAGACCCCAGAAATAATGCCACATACATACAGTCACCTGGTCTTTGAGAAAGCTAACCACATACATCTGGGAAGAATTTCTTTTTTAATAAATGATGCTGAAATAACTAGTTAGCACTATGTAGAAGATTGGAACTACATGCTTTCATTAAACCATATACAAAAATCAACTGAAGATGAACATTTAAATGTAAAACTTCAAATTAAAAAAAAATAAATAAATAAGAAATACCATTGTAGACATAGAAACGGAAATTTAAAAAAAAAAAAATGCCAAGGCCTGGTGTGATGGCTCACACCTGTAATTGCAGCACTTTGGGAGGCTGAGGCAGGCGGATCACGAGGTCAGGAATTCAGGACCAGCCTTGACAGCATAGTAAAATCTCATCTCTATTAAAAAAAAAAAAATGCCAAAAGCAATTGCAACAAAACCAATAATTGACAAATGGAACCTAATTCAGCTAAAAAGCTTCTTCGCGCCGAACGAGGTGACTCATGTCTGTAATCCCAGCACTTTGGGAGGCTGAGGCAGGCAGATTACAAGATCAGGAGATCGAGACCATCCTGGCCAACATGATGAAACCCCATCTCTACTAAAAATACACACATACACACACACACACACACACAAAATAGCTGGTTGTGGTGGCACACACCTGTAGTCCCAGCTACTAGGGAGGCAGAGGCAGGAGAACTGCCTGAATCCAGGAGGTGGAGACTGCAGTGAGCTGAGATCATGCCACTGCACTACAGCCTGAGCGACAGCACAAGACTGTCTCAGAAGAAAAGAAAAAAAACCTTCTTCACACCAAAGGAAATCAGCAGCACATTAAACAAACAACACACAGAATAAAATTAAATATTTGCAAACTATGCTTTTGACAAAAGTCTAATATCAATAATTTATAAGAAACTTAAGCTTGCAGGGAAAAAGCAGACCTCAATAGGATGGATCCAAGATGGCTGATTAGGAGCAGCTCAGGATTGCAGCTCCAAGAAAAGCGCAGAGGATGATTGGACGCAGCATTTCCAGATGGATTTCTATTGCACACAGACCAGGAGATTCCCAGGCAGAGGAGCTCCAAGGGTTGCCAGCGTGGCTGTTTTGGCTGGCGCCCCAGTGTGGCAATTCTCCGTACAAAATACACAGGTCTGGGCGCCATTTTAGCTGGCAACTGGAGTTCCTGGGAGACAGAGTCGCCCATTCTACTGATAAAAAACAAGACTGAAACACCCAGGCCAGAAGATTCCCGGGCAAAAAAGCCCCACGTATCTCCACCAGGCTGTTTCAGCCAGTGCCATGGGTTGCCACACAGGAAATCACAAAGATCCCGGTGCCTTTCAACAGGTGACTGGAACACCTGGAAGACAGAGTCACCCATTCAAATGAAAAGAAAAAGGAGGGGTCTGAGGCAGGGAGCTAGGTGATCAGGTTCAGCTGGTCCCACCCCCACAAAAAAACAGCAACTAAACACTCTGGATTGAGAGTTTCACAGCAGGCACAGCTAAACCCGGGACCGTCCAGCTCTGTTGGGGAGCGGCGTCCACCATTACCCAGGCAGTCCACCACTGCGGAGGTAGTCTGCCATTGCTGAGGCAGCCCGCCATTGCCGAGGAAGCCCGCTATTACAGAAAGAGTCCACCATTATAGAGGTGGGCCGCCACTGCCAAGGCAGCTCTAACTATACCTGTATAAACAGGACAGCAGGGAAGTTCACATGGCAACTGGGTGGAGCCCACAGCAGCTCAGGAAAGCCTCTGCAGGCAGACAGTGACTAGGCTGCCTCCTCGCTGGACAAAGCAGCCCTGAAACAAGGCAGCAGAACAACAGAAACTTATAAATAAAGCCCTAACTCCCTGGGACACAGCACCTGGGAAAAAAAAGGGGGGGTTATGAGTTCTGCTGCAGCAGACTTAAACGTACCTGCCCAGCAGCTCTGAATGAACAATGGAGTTCACAGCTCAGCACGTGAGCTCCTATAAAGGACAGACTGTCTCCTCAAGCAGCTCCCTGACCCCTTATATCCAAAGAGTCACCTCAGAAAGGAGAGCTCAGACATCTAGCAGGTATCCCTCCAGGACAAAGATAGCAGAAGAAGAAACTGACAGCAATCCCTTACTATTCTGCAGCCAATACAGGTGATCCCCAGACAAGCAGGGCCTGCAATGGACCTCAGCAGTCCTACAGAAGAGGGGCCTGATAGAAGGAAAACTAAGAAACAGAAAGAAATAACTTCCTCATCAACAAACGGGACACCCACCCAGAGACCCAATCTGAAAGTCAACAACTACAAAGATGACAGGTGGATAAATCCACTAAGATGGGAAGAAGCCAGCGCAAAATGGGTGAAAACACCCAAAACCAGAAGGCCTCTCCTCCTACAAGGGATCACAACTCCTCACCAGCAAGGGAACAAGGCTGCATGGAGAATGAGTCTGATGAATTGACAGAAAAAGGCTTCAGAAGGTAGGTAATAAGAAACTTCTCTGAGCTAAAAGAACATGTTCTAACCTAATGCAAAGAAACTAAGAACCTTGAAAAAAGATTTGATGAAATACTAAAAAGAATAAACAGCTTAGAGAGGAATATAAGAGAATTGACTGAGCTGAAAAACACAAGAACTTCACAAAGCACACACAAGTTTCAACAGCCAAATAGGCCAAGCTGAGGAAAGGAGGTCAATGATCAACTCAATGAAATAAAAGGAGAAGACAAGATTAGAGAAAAAAAGGGTAAAAAGGAATGAACAAAGTCTCCAAGAAATGTGGGACTATGTGAAAAGACCTAATCTATGTTTGATAGGTGTACATGAATGTGACAGAGAAAATGAATCCAAGCTGGAAAATACTTTTCAGGATATTATCCAGGAAAACGTCCCCAACCTAGCAAGGCAGGCCAATATTCAAATCCAGGAAATACAGAAAATACCACAGAGATATTCCTCACGAAGAGCAACCCCAAGGCACATAATCGTCAGATTCACCAGGGTTGAAATGAAGGAGAAAATACTAAGGGCAACCAGAGAGAAAGGTCAGGTTATCCACAAAGGGAAGCCGATCAGACTCACAGCAGATCTCTCAGAAGAAACCCCACAAGCCAGAAGAGAGTGGGAGCTAATATTCAACATCCTTAAAGAAAAGAACTTTCAATCCAGAATTTCATATCCGGCCAAACTAAGCTTCATAAGTGAAGGAGAAATAAAATCCTTTATGAACAAGCAATTACTCAGAGATTTCATTACTACCAGGCCTGCTTTACAAGAGCTCCTGAAAGAAGCACTAAACATAGAAAGGAACAACCAGTACCAACCACTTCAAAAACATACCAAATGGTAGACAGCATCAACACAATGAAGAAACTGCATCAACTAATGAGCAAAACAGCCAGCTAGTATCAAAATGGCAGGATCAAACTCACACATAACAATATTAATCCTAAACATAAATGTGCTAAATGCCCCAATCAAAAGACATAGACTGGAAAATTGGATGAAAAGCCAAAACCCATCACTGTGCTGTATCCAGGAAACCCATCTCACATGCAAGGATACACAAAGGCTCAAAATAAAGGGATGGAGGAAGATTTACCAAGCAAATGGGGAGCAAAAAAAAGCAGAAGTTGCAATTCTCATCTCTGATAAAATAGACTTCAACCAACAAAGATCAAAAGAGACAAAGAAGGACATTACATAATGGTAAAAGGATCAATGCAACAAGAAGAGCTAACGATCCTAAATATATACGCACCCAATACAAGAGCACCAGATACATAAAGCAAGTTCTTAATGACTTACAAAGAGACTAGACTCCAACACAATAATAGTGGGAGAACCCCATTGTCAATATTAGACATATCAATGAGACAGAAAATTAATAAGGATATCCAGGACTTCAATTCAGACCTTGAACAAGCAAATCTAATAGACATTTACAGAACTCTCCACCCCAAATCCACAGAATATACATTCTTCTCAGCACCACATCACACCTACTCTAAAATTAACCAAATAATTGGAAGTAAATCACTCCTCAGAAAATGCAAAAGAATGGAAATCATAACAAACGGTCTCTCAGACCACAGTGCAATCAAGTTAGAACTCAGAATTCAAAAACTAACTCAGAACCGCACAACTTAATGGAAACTGAACAACTGGTACTTGAATGTTGACTGGATAAACAATGAAATGAAGGCAGAAAGGAAGATGTTCTTCGAAGCCAACGATAATGAAGACACAATATACCAAGTCTCTGGGACACATTTAAAGCAGTGTCTAGAGGAAAACATATAGCAATAAATGCCCATATGAAAAGGAAGGAAAGATCTAAAATCAACACTCTATCATCAAAATTGAAAGAGCTAGAGGAACAAGATCAAAAAAACTCAAAACCTAGCAGAAGACAAGAAATAACTAAGATCAGAGCAGAACTGAAGGAGATAGAGACACAAAAAAATCCTTCAAAAAATCAATATATCCATGAGTTGGTTTTTTGAAAAGATCAACAAAATAGACCACTAGCCAGATTTTTAAAATAATAAAATAAAACAAAGAATAATCAAATAGATGCAATAAAAATCGATAAGGGGTATATCACCACAGATTCCACAGAAATACAAGCCATCATCAAAGATTATTACAAACAACTGTATGCACATAAACTAGTAAACCTGGAAGAAATGGATACATTCCTGGACACTTGCATCCTCCCAAGCCTAAACCAGGAAGAAGTCGAAACCCTGAATAGCCCAATAAAAAGGGCAGAAGTTGAAGCAGCAATTAAAAGCCTACCACCTAAAAAAAGCCCAGGTCCAGATAGGTGCACAGCCGAATTATACCAGACATACAAAAAGGACCTGGTACCATTCGTTCTGAAACTATTCCAAATAATCCAAAAAGAGTGAATCCTTCCCAAATCATTTTATGAGACAAATATCATCCTGATACCAAAACTCAGCAGAGACTCAACAAGAAAACAAAACTTCAGGCCAATATCAATGATGAACATAGATGCAAAAATCTTCAATAAAACACTGGCAAGCTGATTGCAACAGCATATCAAAAAGCTTATCGACCATGATCAAGTGGGCTTCCTCCCAGGGATGCATGGCTGGTTCAACATACACAAGTCCATAAACATAATTCACCACATAAACAGAACCACAGACAAAAACCACATGATTATCGCACTAGATGCAGAAAAGGCCTTTGACAAAATTCAACAGCCCTTTATGAAAAAAAAAACAAAAAAAGCCCCAATAAACTAGGTATTGATGGAACATATGTCGAAATAATACAAGCTATTTATGACAAACCAACAGCCAATATCATACTGAATGAGCAAAAAGTGGAAGCATTGCCTTTGAAATCTGGCACTAGACAAGGATGCCCTCTCTCGCCATTCCCATTCAATACAGTATTGGAAGTTCGAGCCAGAGGAATCAGGCAAGAAAAAGAAATGAAGGCTATTCAAATAGGAAATGAGGAAGTCATATTGTCCCTATTTGCAGATGACATGATTGTATATCTAGAAGACCCCATCCTCTCAGCCCAAAATCTCCTGAAACTGATAAGCAACTTCAGCAAAGTCTCAGGATACAAAATCAATGTGCAAAAATCACAAGCATTCCTACACACCAATAACATACTTAAAGAGAGCCAAATCAAGAACGAACTGCA